GAGAAGGGGAGAGAGAGAGATAGAGAGAAGGAGAGAATCTTAGCCAGGCTCTGCTCTTATCAAGGAGCCCAGCTCGGGGCTCCATCGCGCAATTTTGGGATCATGACCTGAGCCGAAATCAAAAGTCAGAGGCTCGACTGACCGAGCCACCCAGGGGCCCCTCCCTAACACTTTAAGACAGGAGAATATCCAGGTATCCGTCTCTGATTTCATTTTCTAGAACATGATAGGTGTCAATAAATGAACAGGTTAATCTGAGATGAATGATGGAAAAAATGCAGAAGCCTATGAAAACATACAGTAAGTAAAGAGTGTAATGTATTTCCTAACATAGTTTAGAAGAGGGCAGAGGAAACCTAAAAACTCTTCAGTTAGTATTTGGTTTGTAGTAAGTTCATTTTCTGTTTTATAAATTCTGTAATAGTTAATTTCTATCCAATAAGATTAAGTAAGTGGGCAGTCACATGTCTGAGGGGATTGGGGATCTCTATCACTGGACCTTTTCCCAAAACTGGGAAAAAATAATTAGAAAAGTAACAAATATCCAAATAAAAATCCAAGAGTAAACACTAGGTCTCATGCTTCAAATTAATTTCACATTTTTATCACTCCACCCTTTTTATTAGAATTATTTTTTAAAAAAGCAAAATATGCTAGTCAGGTATTTTTTCCCAACTTCTCTAGCCAATCATGTAAGTGCTAACAGTAAAAGAACAAAAGAATATGAAAAGAAAAAGGATTATAAATAATTAATCTTGGATAATTTAACCAGTTGACAGTGTACTTTAGTTCTTTGAAAACATAAATGCTATTAACAGCCACTAATATCTATTGTGCAATCACAGTTATACTGTGTTTGGCTCCTTATCCCTTAATTGATACTTTGTTAAGGAATTATAAAAATAAAGATCCTGCCCCTAGAGAGTAGTAGTAACTTGCCACTTTTATGCTTTCCTTGGTAAGCTGCAAAGCACTGAAGGTCTGGCTCTCCTAAATATTAACACATATTACTTCTTTGCTAAAAATTGGAGCCTGGGGGTGCCTGGGTGACTCAGTTGGTTAAGCTTCCAACTTCAGCTCGGGTCATGATCTCACGGTCTGTGAGTTCAGGCCCCACATCGGGCTCTGTGCTGATAGCTCAGAGCCTGGAGCTGCTTCAGATTCTGTGTCTCCCTCTCTCTCTGCCCCACCCCTGCTTGTCCTCTCTCTCTCTCTCAAAAATAAATAATACATTTTTTTAATTAAAAAAAAATTCCTGGAGCCTGTGTTTAGGCTTTTGAAAATTCTGCAACCTAATCATTCTTTCTCACTTGTCACTTCTATTTGAAACATAAGCTTTTTGAAAAAAAAAAAAAAAAGAACTGTCCCAAATATATTAATATTTTCTGTCTACCGATAAACTGGTGAACTAGAAATATGTTTGCTCTCCCCTTGAGGCATAGGTTTGTTACTTATATTGAGTTTTTCAGTCTGGGACACACTAGAGCCACTTTCTGTTTCTTGGGACCAGAAGAAAATAATAATAATAATGCAAATACATAGCTTTGCAAATGGATCTTATATGAGTAATAATGATTGGAAGTTAAAGCGAACCAGAAAAATGAAATTCTTTCTCTGGGAATCAAGTTAAATCTTGTAGGAGTGAGCTGCTGTTATTGACACTAAAGCCAGAGGTAACCGGTAACCCAAATAAGGCACAGGTCTAAATCATTGTGATAAATACGCCAATAGCCTTAAATAGGAAGGAATAAAATGATTGGATTTAGATTTAAAACACACCGTTCACAAGAGAGGAAATTAGTGGTAAGGCCAACCTCCTCAGGACTTGAGAGGTTAGCTCTACCTGAACTCTATAATTTAGATTACTCTTTAAATTAGGGAGAGATCTTGGGGCGCCTGGGTGGTGCAGTCGGTTAAGCGTCCGACTTCAGCCAGGTTACGATCTCACGGTCCGTGAGTTCGAGCCCCGCATCAGGCTCTGGGCTGATAGCCTGGAGCCTGTTTCCGATTCTGTGTCTCCCTCTCTCTCTGCCCCTCCCCCGCTCATGCTCTGTCTCTCTCTGTCCCCAAAAAAATAAATAAACGTTGAAAAAAATAAATTATTGAGAGATCTAAACTGTTCATTCTTTTGTCAACTTCTAGGGCCAAGTTTCCATCATTCCTTCCCACAAAAGTACTGATGTTACTAGAATAGGTGAACTGTCAAGTCTTCACCTAAGAGTTTTTATGTGGTCCATTCTTGTAGGAACCTGTAAAGCAAATAAAAATGCTCACATATCAACAAAAAAAGGAAGTAAAAAGGTTGGTTTCAATATATTTACCCACTTCCCTTAGTAATAAAATTGTTTAGAAGTAACGAAGGGAGGGAGGCCTCAGTAGCTCAGTTGGCTGGGTGTCCAACCTCAGCTCAGGTTGCGATCTCAAGTTTTGTGAGGTGGAACCCACATCGGGCTCTGTGCTGTCAGCATGGAGCCTGCTTCAGATCCTCTGTCCCCCTGTCTCTCTCTGCCCCTCCCCACTCTCTCTCTCTCTCTCTCTCTCTCAAAAAAAAAACATTTTAACAAAAATCCTGATTC